CCCAGGAGACACATTCCCACAAGGGTGTGATCTGCATGAAGAGCTGTCCCTTCACCCTGAAAATCACTCCTAATAGAGATAGTGTCTGAGACGTGACACTTCATCTCAATCTTCCCCTTCCTAAAAAGGCATTTCTTCAAAGATCCTATTGGTGACATCTTTGGGGACCTTGAAGAGAATATCCCCCATGTGGGACCACTTGAAGGCATATTCTCTTCTCTGTGGGAAATTGTTCCACCCCAGGGTACCTCAGATCCCCACAGATGCATCCTTCCAGAGTCACGTGCTCAGGCAAGAGGCTGGTCCTCATGGGAGTTTTTCCCCCAGAAAAAACATGTGTATACGCTCAGACCTTCTTCCTTTGCCCGCCACAGAACAGAGCCCCTTAAGTCCTGCAGCCCCTCCATAGTCTTTGCCTCATGGTCAGGATTAAGGAGTTAGGCCAGGTCAGGATATATTTATAAGAGCGATTAGCTGGTAGCTGGGGAGGGGGCAGATGGAGCGATTCTTACTTCGCCCCAGTTCACTCAGCTGAGGCCAAACTAGACCAGAGTTGGAGAGGACATCATCTGAGCCCTAGACAAAGCAGGAAGGGCTTTCCTAGGGTGGTTGACCCAAGGACTTGGAGGGCAGGGTCTCCGGACTAGAATGACCTCTGCTGGACAACGGAGGCGACGAGGTCTGGGTCAGTGTGTTCTTGGTGGTTGACTCTTACATCTGCACCTTTGCCTGTGTTATTGTAGTTTACGTCTTTCTGTTTCTCTTGGTCAACGTAGCCATCTCAATGAGTATTTTTTGTATTTGTCTCTGTCCACGGCTTGTATTTTCCTCTTGTTCCCAGCTGGGAAAGCTGTCCCTGGTGCTGGCCTCGTGCTCCTGTCCACGGTGCTGAAATATGAACACCCTAAAGGTGATGAGGGCGTGTGTGCACACAGGGTCTTGAGGGAGGTAAAACCCACATACACAATAAATATGACTCACAACTACCGTGGTCCAGCCCAGACAAAGGCTATATCCTGTAATGCTTGGTTCCTGGGGCCTCTATGATGTCACTATTGCCCACAGAAAGAGAAGCAGGAGTTCAGTCCAATCTGGGTACATAGGGTTTTCCTTCCTGGGGGGGAGGCACTAATTCATTAACTTAATGATCAACACTTACAGAGCATGCTCTGTGTGCAAATGCAAAATAGAATTTGGCAATGTGGGAGTTCATCAATAAAAACAGACCAAAAATACATCCCTGCTTTAGGGCCATAGACAGGCTAAGCTCCACCCTGGAGAGAGATGTCTTATCCATTAAGAGCACACTGGCTGCTCTTCCAGAAGGCCTGGGTTTAATTCCTAGCACCCTTGTAGTGGCTTTACGACTATTCATAACTCTGACTCCAGGGGATCTGATATCTTTTGGCCTCTATGGGTACCAGGCACATATGAAGCACAGACACATGCAGCCAAAACACCTATATGCATAAAATAATTTATATTTTAAATGAAAAACAGTGCTTGATGCTATTGCAGAGGACCAGAGTTTGGCTCCCAGCACCCACGTTGGATAGTTCACAACAGCTTGTACCCTCAGCTCTAGGTGATCAGAGGCATCTGACCTCCCCAAGCACCTAGAGTAAAGTGCACACATACCCTCCAATCCAATACATACTAAAAATAACTAAAGTATTTTAAAAATGCCTGCCTTGGTTCCCCAGATTTTGGTTCCAGGATAGTTTCTGTACTGGGCATCTTGTTTGCACACAGTATAGTTAGCACCTAGTGGTGGGTCCCCACTTTAGAAGGGTCCTTGCCTTACATCAAGCACATAGACACTAAGGCATACTTTAGCATCTCTTGTCTTAATGATTAAATCTGTATTTCCATCCATTTGTGTTTTCTGTGTTGTGTCATTTGATGTAACCCTTGGAAATACTGCACACTAGCCTCTGAAAACCATGAAGCAATACATGGGTCTGACTTATGGACTCAGTTCAAATGTCAAATAAATTTATAACACAGTTTTAAAAATGCCTGCCTTACCCTGAGATGGGAGGGACACACATTCCTGGTATTGATATATTCTATAAGGATGGATGCATATACTCTAAAAACATGCATATGAAATATGTGTACAAGCAGAAACAGTGCTCTGCACATACACTTGTGTGCACACATCCTACAAATACATTCACAAACATTGTATATCTTTACATATACAAACTCCTCAAACACAGACGCAAGCATGCATTCACGCATGCTGTGTACATACTCTTCAAATAAAGACCTATCTATTCTCTAAAACATATGTAGGGATTGGAGACATAGTTCAGTGGTCAGGAGAACTACCACCCTTGCAGAGGACCCAAGTTCAGGTCTCAGCACCTCTCACAACTGCCTGTAACTCCAGTTCCAGGGGATCTGATCAGAGGAGTCTGACCTCACAGGGCAACTGCATTCATATGCACAGACCTGTATAGACAGATAGACAGACAGACAGACAGACAGACAGACAGACAGACACACACACACACACACACACACACACACACACACACACACCTAATTGAAAACAGTACAATATAAAAAAGAAAATTCAAAAACACATAATTAACAAAGAGAATCACATATAACATGTAAATATTTGCAAATATACAGCAAACAGACACACATAATGTACATAAGCACATATACATAAAAACCACACACTCAGGCTGGTGAAATGGCTTAGAGGTTAAGAGCAGTGACTGTTGTTCTAGAGGTCCTGAGTTCAATTCCAAGCAACCACATGATGGCTCACAGCCATCTAAAAAATGAGATCTGGTACCCTCTCCTGTCATACAAGGAAGCAGAACACTGTGTATATAATAAATAAATAAATCTTTAAAAAACCTCACCCTCTTCAATCATACAAATATATATTTGGGAAAGACAGACTCATCAAATGCAAGTACACTAAAAAAAAAAAACCAAAAAACAAAACAAAAACAAAAAAACAAAAAACCCAGGGGCTGGAGAGATGGCTCAGCCAGCGGTTAAGAGCACTGTTTGCTTGGCCAGAGGTCAATGCCCAGCAACCACATGGTGGCTCACAACCATCCGTTATGAGATCTGGTGCCCTTTTCTAGTGTGCAGATATATATGGAAGCAGAATGTTGTATATATAATAAAAAATCTTAAAACAAAAACAAAACAAAACAAAACAACACCAACATCCCTAGTTCCAAAACCTAGGGATGCTCAATAGTGCACAATTTCCACCCAACAATAGATAAATATCCCAACACAGCTCAGAGGTGCATGAAAGCCATGCCATGCATGCCCCCTTCTCCAGAGCTCTCTCCCTCGACTGGTTCTTCATCGTGAGTGAGTCAATTCTGTGAAGACTAAGACTGCTTTATCTTGTATAAGTGTACTCCCAAAACCCAGTACAGAGTTGGGTGTTGTGTTTTTTTCTCCATTTTTATTTAAATTAGAAACAAGATTGTTTTACATGTCAATCCCAGTTCCCTCTCCCTCCTCTCCTCCCTTGCCTCCCCCCCCCATGTTTGTTTTTGAGGCAGGGATTTTGCTGTGGCTGTCCTAGAGCTTACACTGTAGACCAGGCTGACCTTGCACACAGAGATCTGCCTACCTCTGTCTCCCCAATGCTGGGATTAAAGACGTGTGCCACCATGCCCGGCTTCTCGGACTGTGTGTTTAATAAATGTCTATTGGCCAGGTGTTGGTGTTTGCCTTTAATCTCAGCACTTGGGAGCCAGAGGTAGGCAGATCAGCAGATCTCTGTGAATTCAAGATCTACAGAGCAAGTTCCAGGACAGCCAAAGCTACACAGAACCCTGTCTGGAAAAAAGCAAATAATAATAATAATAAAATATAAATGTCGGGGCTGGAGAGATAGCTCAGAGGTTAAGAGCACTGGTTGCTCTTCCAGAGGTCCTGAGTTCAATTCCCAGCAACCACATGGTGGCTCACAACCATCTGTTATGAGATACGGGATCTGGTGCCCTCTTCTGGTGTGCAGATATACATGGAAGAAGAATATTGTATACAAAATAAATAAAATCTTTAAAAAATATATGTCTATTGGATTAATGGACAGAATGCTAAAGAACACAGATTTACAACAACTGTAGGAAGGCACAATAGCCTGCACCACATACACTTGAAACTACCCACCCAACAGCCAGTCTCTCACACAACGGAGAAGAGAAACATGCAGGGTTACCCACACATTATAGAAAACAGAGACAGAGCTCAAACCCCAAGCTTAACATAGGGCAAACTTGTCGATATAAATTCACCAGTCCCAAGAGCTCCTGTTTTTGTGGCTGTGGGGGTGGGGCTTTGGAAAGCCCCGCCCCTGAGCCAAACCACACCCCCTTCAGTTGCCATTGGGGCCTTGTTCTGTTGTTCTGAGGTGTCTCAGCAGCCCTTATACTCCAGCCTGATAACAGGTGAGTGACAGGGCATAGGGAGGTGAAATCTTGTCTCTCATACCCTTGTTTTCCTCTGCCCAGAAGCTTTTGGTACCTATTGGCAGAACCCCAGCCCTGCCACAGTCTGCTTGGTATTAAAGGTCCAACTCCCCCCCCACCACCCCCCACCCCGGGGTGGAAGCTCCTAAGCCGATTGTGAGCTGAGAGAAGGTGACTGTGAAAGGCATGAGAATCGGGGCTGGGCTGAAGAGAGGAAGTCCTGGGTGGAAGAGAGGCTGGGAAGAGCTGAGGTGGTCCTGTTGCTCCGACGGAAGTTAGTATCAGAGAGCAAATAGGGTGAGATTGTTCGCATGTGTGGTTTAAGCTGGGGTGGTGTTTGGGCCTGAAGGAATGTGTCTGCTGGGAGGGGCTCTTGGATGAGACTCTCCCTAGGGTTCAGAGAACCCTTGCCGTTGCCTGGCCTCCTTCTGTATTGCCCATCCTTGGTGCTGCCTGGTACCCACCAGTGCCAACTTGAGCCTCCAGGACACTCACACCTTGTCCCTCCATATCAGCTGGTTCTTGTCTCAGGTGAACATGGCCAACAAAGGCCACTTTCAACCCAACATCCTGAACTGGGCCCTTCGACTGATCCTGGCATGGATCTTCTTGGTGGCCTGTGGAGGAAGCCACCCTCTGCAAGCTAGGTTCTGGGAACACCCTGGGCTAGCAGCCAATGTGAGCACAAGCCAGCTGCACCTAGCAGGTGAGCATCTTATCTCATTCCTAACACCCAGAAGCCCCACTCAGACCTTCCTTGTAAGAGGGGCTTAGAGTAGCAATGAGAGTGGGTAGCCAAGGCTAGTGATGAAGAGCGCTGGTTAACAGCCTAGACTCTGGGTTCCAGACTGCTGGGTTCCAGTCCCACATCCACACCTTGTTGCTCTGTGACCTTGAGTGAGTCAGTTGACTTGGGTAGAGTTAGGTGTGGTGATGCCCACCTGTAATCCCAGCACATAGAGGGTGGATGTAGGAGGGTCAGGGCTTCAAGGCCAGCCTCACTTACCTACGGAGTTAGAGGCCAGGCTAGACTACCTGAAACTCTGTCTCAAAATAAACAAACAGGGCTGGTAAGCGGTCTCAGTGGGTAAAAATGACTGCCACCAAGCTCAACAATCCGGGTTAGGTTCCTGGAATCCACATGATCAAAGGACAGAAATCAACTCCTGTGACTTGTCCTCTGACTTACACACACACACTGTGGCATGTGAGCAGTCACACACAACAAAGAAGTTAAATACAATTCTAAAAATTAGTAGAATGTGTGCCTAAAATGGGGAATGCCCTAGATCCAATCCCCAATAAACAAACATGAAATCACAGACCTAACATACAGGTGTTGTGGATATTAAGCATATAAACACTATGCCACCATTTAGAAACACAGATATAATCTGATTGTTATGAGTGATAGAGCTATTACTGCTTGAAGCTGCATTTCACATAAAAAAAAAAAAATCTGCAGCAATGGGAATTGAACCTAGCCACCATTCACATGATAGTGAGAGTTATACCACTCACTCCTAGAGGATTATTTTTATTTTCTGCCAGGATCCCTCTATGTTGCCTAGCCTGGTCTTAAATTTGAGATTCCCCCTGCTTCAGCCTCCAAGTGTTTGGGGTTACAGATCCATGTCATTTCTTTCAAGAGTAATCTTTAAGGCTTTCCTCTTTCAGATGGCTGATAAAATTTCTGTTATCAGGGCACCCTCAGCCTTACCGGAGGATCCAAGATCCTGGTTCACAGACATCACCAGTGCCAGAACCTTGCTGTACCTCAGACAAAGACAGACCAGAGGCACCAAGCCCAGGGGTCCTTCTAGAGAGCTGCGGTGCTCCAAGCCCAGAGTGAGTACTGCGCCCTCTAGCCTGTCCCCTGTTCTCTGCCCTATTTGCCCTTGCCTGGGGTCAGAGCCCTAAGTCCCCCTGAGGATTGTGCCCCGCCTGCCCTGTGTCTCCCACATCCAGATGTGAATTATTTCTGGGACATCTTCTACGTACCCTCCGCAATCGCTTCCACCCTCTGTTGCTTGGAATGCAGCCACTCTGCCCAGAGGTCTGCCAGATTTGGTAAGAGAGGCGGGGACAGGGGCGTGCCCTAAGGTATGAGCATGTCAGAGGGTCCTAGTTTGGCCCTAGAAAGCCAGGATGAAGTCTATGGGGAGAGATGTAGTGTGTACTAGTGAGGTAGAAAGGGTAGGCGCTGCCGGGCGTTGGTGGCGCACGCCTTTAATCCCAGCACTCGGGAGGCAGAGGCAGGCAGATCTCTGTGAGCTCGAGACCAGCCTGGTCTACAAGAGCTAATTCCAGGACAGCCTCCTCCAAAGCCACAGAGAAACCTTGTCTCAAAAAACCAAAAAACAAAAAAACCAGAAAGGGTAGGCGCCCGAGAATGACAGCATTTAGAGCATGAAAGAGTTGCTCGGAGGGCCAGGAATGACTCTTAGAGGAGCTAAAACAGGAGAGAATGCAAGGAGCTGGTCACAAAGACGTTATCTGGGCTAGAGAGATGGCTCAGTGGTTAAAGAGTGCTTGTGTCGTTCCCCCCCTTGCCCCCCCCAGGACCCGAGTTCAGCTCCCAACACCCACGTCAGGTTCACAGTTGCTTGTAATTCCCGCTCCAGGGGATCTGATGTCTTTGGGAACACCCCTGACACCAGCACTAGTGTGTGTATACAAAATGGACACACATAACTTAAAACTAGTTTTAAGCATGGTGGTGGTGCATGCCTTTAATGCCAGCATTCAGAAGGCAGAGGCAGGTGAGAAACCCTGCCTTGAAAAAACAAAATAAATTAAAAATAACTTTTTTTTTTTTTTTGGCTTTCTGAGACATGGTTTCTCTGTGTAGTTCTGGCTGTCCCAGAACTCACTCTGTAGACCAGGCTGGCTTTAAAATCACCGCGATCTACCCGCCTCTGTCTCCCGAATGCTGGGATTAAAGGCTTGTTCCCACCACTGCCCAGCTTAAAATAAAAATTTTAAAGGGGAAGGGAGTGGCCACTGTGGTAGTGTTGATGGCCTGTTATACTAGTACTTGGGAAAGAGGATCAGGGGTTCAAGGTCATCCTTAGACACAAAATGGCTTCTAGACTAGCTTTAGACCCAGCCTCACAGTAGATTAGATGGTAGATCTGGGAAGAAGTGAACCCTGCAAGGGCTGGGTTGGGCTTTTGAAGGAATGTGGCCTGAGAGGTGAGGCTATGGTCTGAGAGCAGGACAAAGGTCTTTAGAAGCCAACTGGCTCCAAAGCTCTAACCCATCTTTTCTCACACACCCAGGTTCACCACCTGTGAAGCAGATTTTACCTGTGGACTGACTTGGCTGCAGCCCTCTGGGAAGAGAGGCTGTGAGTCCAGTTGTCGTACCTTTGGGCAGGTGAGGAACACAGGGTGAGGGTACAGATGAGCTCTATACTATAGTCTGGGGTATTAACATGCTCCAGCACCCAGATTCCTGGTGTCTTTTAACTAATTAGATACTTTGTGTTTTTTTGTTTTTTGTTTTTTTTTTTTTTTTGAGCTTTTGGAGGCTGTCCTGGAACCCATTCTATATACCAGGCTGGCCTCCAACTTACACAGATCCAACTGGTGATGCCTCCCAAGTACTGGTCTTAAAGGTGTGTACCACCATCACCGGGCAAGATAGGAACTTGCTACAGAGCTCTTATTATGCTGAAACTCACTATGTAGACCAAGCTGACCTTGAACTCTTGGAGATCCACCTGCCTCTGTCTCTCTAGTGCTATTAATCCCTTTGAGAGTGTGGGTTACACATTCAGTCAAGCTTTGGAGCTATCCCGGCACTTGCTCTGGAGACCAGGCTGGCCTCGAACTCACAGAGATCCGCCTGCCTCTGCCTCCCAAGTGCTGGGATTAAAGCTTCAATCTATTTTTTAAAGACTTGGTTTTATTCTGTGTATGAGGGTTTTGCCTGCCTGTATGTGCAACACCTATGTACCTGGAAGAGGTCAGTACAGGATTCAGAGTCCCCTACATTTGGAATTATGGTTATGAACTACCAAGTGGGTGCTGGGAATCTAACCTGGGTCCTCTGTAAGAGCAGCCAAAGCTCTTACCGGCTGTACCATCTCTCTAGTCAAGTGCTTAGCCCTATCTTTCTTTTTAAAACATTTTCTTTATTCATTTATTTTTTACATGCCAGCTTAGCCCTATCTTAACCTTACGTAGCCCCTAGGCTCATGCTCCACTCTTTCCAAAGACCCAGCCTCGGTGTGGGATGTGTGAGTAGGGAGGGTCCCAAGAGCCCACTGATTCCAGACTCTCCTTCCAAGTTATTGTCTTTGCCCTGGGTTCTCAGCAGGCCCAGGAAATCTGTTGCCCCTCCACTGGCTCTGGCCCTGCCGAGACCAACCAGTCCCTCAAAGGAACAACCAGACCCTCCCCCATTGCCCAGGCCACACCCCAGGACAGAAGACCCTCCCCAAGGCCTCAGGTTCCACCCTGACCCTGACCCCACCCTTTTTCCTAGACCTTCACTAATGCTGAAGACTTGTGTCGCACGGCTCTGGGCCATGCTGTGGTGGCAGCTCCTGGCTCGCGTCACTGTCTCAACGTCTCCATGTCCTCGCTGCGAGCCCGCCGCTCTGGCTCCTGGGTCTCCAATGCTGCAGGCAGTGGCAGCGGCAGCAGTGGCAGTGGGGACAGCCCCGAGTAGACACTGGCTTTCAATAAGTGTCCCTTCTCTGGACCAGGAGCAAGAAGCCACCTGAGTCACACACCTCTCCCAACCAAGCCCCACGCCAGGGTTGCCCAGACAGGCTTCCTATCCATTATCCTAGAAATGCCCAACTCTCACTTACTTTGCTGTTTCCCAGAATAAAGTTACCACTTACACCATCTATACAATGTGGCTGCTGCTTGGTGAAACAGTTGGTGAGAACTGCCAAAAATGATAGTGTCAGAGGGGAAGAGAAAGGGTGAGACAAAGAGACCAGTAAAATGGCACAGCAGGTCAACTCTGACGTCCTATTATGTTCTAGCCCCAGAATTCACGGTAGTAAAAGAACCAACTCCTGAAAGTTGTCTTCTGACCTCCACATTTGCAGTGGCCCGAGTGCTCCCTTTCCCCAAAATAAATAAATGTAATAAAATAACTTTTGGCTTTGAGTCAGGGTCTCATTATGTAGACCTGGCTGGCCTCTAACTTAGAGATCTACCTACCTGACTCCCAAATGTTGGGATTAAAGGCATGTTTCGTCACAATAGCACAAAAAATAATAGAAAAGAGGACTGGAGAGATGTCTGTGCTGTAAACAGCACTGATGCTCTCCCAGAGGACCTGATTCCCAAGCCCACAAGGTGGCTCACAACCTTCTCTAAGTCCAGTTGCAGGTTATTTGGTGCCCTCTTCTGGTTTCACTGAGCATTGCATGTATGTGGTGAACAGCCGTACATACAAGCCAAACTCTCTCTCACTCTCTCTCTCCATGAGACAGGGTTTCTCTATGTAGCCCTAGCTGTCCTGGAGCTCATTCTAGATCAGGCTGGCCTTGAACTCACAGAGATCCACCTGCCTCTGCCTCCCCAGCGGGATTAAAGGTGAGTGTGCCATCACAGCCTAACAACACCTTTAATTCATCACTCAGGAGACAAGAGAAAGGTGGACCTCCGTGTGTTTGAGGCCAGCTTCTTCTACAAATTGAGTTCTAGGAGAGCCTGGGCTACATAGAGAAATCATGTCTTGAAAAAAAAAAAAAAAAAAGACAAGGGCTGGAGAGATGACTTGGTGATTAAGAACACTGCTGCTCTTCCAAGATTCAGTTCCCAGCACCCACACGGCAGCTCACAACTGTCTGAAACTCCAGTTCCAGGGGATCTGACACCTTCACACCAATGCACAATAAAAATAAAGGTAAATTAAAAAACATAAAGTATAAAATAAAGCCGGGTAGTAGTGGCACACACTTTTAGTGCCAGCACTCAGGAGGCAGAGGCAGGTGGATCTCTAGGAGTTCAAGAACAGCCTGGTCTATATGGTAAGTTCCAGGACAGCCACAGCTAAGGGCTATGTAGTGAGATGGTCTCAAAACAAAAGAAAGATGTGGGTTAGGAAAGTGGTTAATAGCATACAGCACCCCCACACAGAATAGGCCATAACTGCCTCTAACTCCAGCTCTAGGGAAATCTGAAGCCTACAGACTTCAAGGGCACCTACATTCGTGTGTGCATATTCGTGTGTTTCTATACCCACCCAATGACACATACACATACACAAAAATAATTTTAAAATCTCAAAAACAAAAGGTGGGGGGCTGGAGAGATGGCTCAGCGGTTAAGAGCACTGCTCTTCCAGAGGTCCTGAGTTCAATTCCCAGCAACCACATGGTGGCTTAAAAAACCATCCTTTATAAGATCTGGTGCCCTCTTCTGGTGTGCAGATGTACATGGAAGCAGAATGTTGTATACATAATAAATAAATAAAATCTTTAAAAAAAAAGGTGGGCATGGTGGTGCATGCCTTTAATCTCAGCACTAAAAAGGCAGAGGCAGGTGGGTTACTGTGAGTTCTAGGCCAGCCTGGTCTACATGATGAGTTCTAGCAGACTAGGGCCACAAAGAGAAACTTTGCTTTAAAAAAAGTTATCAAACTGTACCAATCTAGAAACACCTATTCTTTGACGATGAGTCAGCGGCTAGCCACAGGCATACTCCTATCAGACCTTAGCCACAGAGCACACCATTTCCTCTCCTTGAACAGCTTTAATTCCCAAGTAAGAGGGGCGGATTCACACATTTGCCTCTAGAGGCTGTTGGCTGCCTCCAGACCTCGCTCCTGGAAGTACCTGTGGGGGATCTGCAGGCGGCAGGCCTGAGGGCCCTGGCTAAGGAAGTAGGATGTGATCCTTCCAGGCTGCCCAGGGTCCTCCTCAGCGGCTGAGTCCTCCCTGTGGAGGAAAGAAATGACACTGGCCACTTTCCATGGGGTTGAGGGGACAAACCACGGCTTCACTCCCCCTCTTATGCCCCCTCAGCTCCCTCAGACCACGAACCACGTGACACCTTCAGCCTCCTTTTCCAGGATGGCTTGGGCTGTGCTCCAGCTGAACCGGACAAACTGGGGGAAGCCAAACACGGGGTCCACGTGTTTCCTCAACCAGGCTTTTGTCTTGGGATCTAGGGAGAGAAGTAATGGTGACAGCATCTGAGTGTCAGGTGACAGTCACATGCCACCTTCATTCTCAGATTTTTTACTTTGTTTTGGAGACAGTTTCACTATGTAGACCAGCCTGGCTATCCACCTGCCTCTGCCTCCCGAGTGCTGGCAGGGTGTGTCTCTTTGGCTCTGTGAGCACCGGGACACCCTCCACCGTCCTAAGTGCCCTTCTGTCCCGGGTGTTTCGTACAGGTAGGTGTGTCTCACCTGAGCCTAAGAAGTCTGGGGAGGTCAGGTAGTGTTGGCACACACCTTTATTCTGGCACTTGGGAGGCAGAGGCAGGTGGATCTCTGTGAGTTCGAGGCCAGCCTGGTCTACAGAGCTACACAAAGAAACCCTGTCTCAGAAAAAAAAAAAAAAGTTGCTTTGGGGTATTTCTGAGATAAGTGCAACAGTCATTAAATTAATTTTTTTGTTTTGGGACAAGGTTTTGCTATGTTGCCCAGGTTAGCTCCAAACTTTCAATCTTCCTGCTCCTGCTTCGGGATAAGAATGCACTATTGTTGCCTAGCTTAACTCTTAGAGCAGATGTGTGTGAACATTCCTTTCCATAATGGAGGGGACTGGAGTTTCAGTACAGAAAGAATAGGAAATGAATCCATGGCCCACATTCCTTCCACTTTTGTTGTTTGTTTTAGTTTTTCCAGGCAGGGTTTCTCTGTGTAGCCCTGGCTGTCTTGGAACTTGCTTTGTAGATCAGGGATTAAAGGTGTACACAGCCACCATCACTATCACCGCCACCGCCACCAAAAATTTTTTCCTTCTTTTTTTTTTTTTTTTTTTTTTTTTTTTTTTTCTGGTTTTTCAAGACAGGGTTTCTCTGGGGCTTTGGAGGCTGTCCTGGAACTTGCTCTTGTAGACCAGGCTGGTCTCGAACTCACAGAGATCCACCTGCCTCTGCCTCCCGAGTGCTAGGATTAAAGGCGTACGCCACCAACGCCCAGCTCTTCCTTCTTGTTTTTAATACTTATTTTAAAGTGTATGCATGTGTGTCTCTCTGTGTGTGTGAATGCAGGTGCCCTTGGAGGCCACTGAATCCCCTGGAGCTGGAGTTACAGACAGTTCTGAGCTGCCCAATGTGGGTGCTGGGAATTGAACTCTGCAAAAGCAGCTCTTAGCCACTGAAGCATGTCTTCAGACCTCATTTTGTCTTCTGAAAATATTTCCTTTTATTTTACGTATGTGTACCATATGCTTTGTGGCACCAGACACACACATGGTGCACACACATACACACATTCTGGCAAAACCCATACATATAAAATAGAAGTTTGTTTTATCTTTTTAGGCAGGGTCTCTATATAGCCCTAGCTATTATGAAGCTCGCTATGTAGACCAGGATGGCCCCAAACTCGTGGAGATCCTCCTGCCTCTGCCTCCAGAGTATTATAAAGGATTTTTTAAAACTTAAGGGGCTGGAGAGATGGCTCAGAGGTTAAGAACACTGGCTGCTCTTCTAGAGGTCCTGAGTTCAATTCCCAGCAACCACATGGTGGCTCACAACCATCTGTAATGAGATCTGGTGCCCTCTTCTAGCCTGCAGGCAG